GGAAATTGTAYTGACCTGTTACTTTCTTCAACTTTATAAGATCCTCCTTTTCCACATCAACTTTAGACAGAGGCTTTTTCCTTCTTCTGCCACGTTTGTAACTTCATATTATACTCATCTGATTGCATCTTAGGGTGTTCATCTTCCTCTTTCAATCATCAGAGCTTGCCTACAAATTCTGCCCTGCAGCTACATTTATCGACATCAGGCCTCCTCCTCCTGCTTTCATAACCTATGTCATTCTCTCTTATACATGTTCATTTTAATAAATGACAATCCATTTTTAAATTCTTTTTAAAAATTTATTCTAATTAGTTATACATGACAGTAGAATGCATTTTGACACATGATACATACATGCAGTATATCTTCTCATTCTTCTGGTTCTCTCTTCTTCATGCATAATGTAGAATTACACTGGTTGTGTAATCATATTTGCACATAGGCTAATAATGTCCGATTCATTCCACTATCATTCCTACCCTCATACGGCTTCCTCTCCCTTCACTCCCCTCTATCTAATCCAAAGTACCTCTCTTCTTCCACAGTGCTCCCCCATTGCGAATTAGCATCCACATATCAGAGAAAACATTTGGCCTTTGCTTCTTTGGGATTGGCTTGTTTCACTTAGCATGATAGTCTCCAGTTCCATCCACTTACCAGCAAATACTGTAATTTCATTCTTCTTTAAGGCTGAGTAATATTCCATTGTGTATATATACCACATTTTCCTTATTCATGCATCTGTCAAAGGGTACCTAGGTTTGTTCCATAGTTTAGCTATTGTGAATTCAGCTGCTATAAACATCGATATGGCTGCATCACTACAATATGCTGATTTTATGTCCTTTGGGTATATCTGAGGAGTGGGATAACTGTGTCAAATGGTTCCATTCCAGGTTTTCTGCTTTCCATAGTGGTTACACCAATTTACAGTCCCATAGCAATGTATGAGTGTACCTTTTTACCCACATCCTTACCAACATTTACTGTTGCTTGTATCCTTGATAATTGCCATTCTGACTGAAATGGGATGGAATCTCAGTGTAGTTTTCATTTGCATTTCTCTAATGGCTAGAGATGTTGAACATCTTTTCACATATTTGTTGATAGATTGTATTCTTTCTTCTGTGAAGTGTTTGTTCAGATCTTTAGCCTATTTATTTATTGAGTTATTTGTTTTTTATGTTAAGTTTTTTGAGTTCTTTATGTATCCTGAAGATTAATGCTCTATCTGAGGTGTAGGTGGCAAAGATTTTCTCCCATTCTATAGGCTCTCTCTTCACATTATTGATTGTTTCTTTTTCTGTGAAGAAGCTTTTTAGTTTGATTCCATCCCATTTATTGATTCTTGACTTTACTTCTTGGACTTTAGAAGTCTTGTTAAGGAAGTCAATTTCTAAGATGAGAAGGTGGAGATTTGGACCTACTTTTTCTCTTATTAGTTCTCTGTTCTAGTACCTAAGTTCTAGTACCTAAGTCTTTGATCCACTTTGAGTTGATTTTTGTGCAGGGTGAGAGTTAGGGGTTTAATTTCATTTTGCTACATATGAATTTCCAGTTTTCTTAGCACCATTTGTTGAAGAGACTATCTTTTCTCCAATGCATGTTTTTTGTGCCTTTGTCTAATATGAGATAACTGTATTTATGAGGGTTTGTCTCTGTGTCCTCTATTCTGTACCACTGGTCTACATGTCTGTTTTGATGCCACTACCATGCTGTTTTTGTTATTAAAACTCTGTAGCATAATTTAAGTTCTGGTATTGTGATGCCTCCTGTTTCATTCTTCTTGCTAAGGATTGTTTTGGTTATTCTAGGTCTCTTATTCTTACAAATGAATTTCATGATTGCTTTTTCTAGTTATATGAAGAATGTCATTGGGATTTTAATAGGAATTAAATCTGTATAATGCTTTTGTTAGTATGGCCATTTGACAATATTAATTCTGCCTATCCAAGAGCATGGGAGATCTTTCCATCTTCTAAAGTCTTCTTCAATTTTTTTCTTTAGTGTTCTATAGTTTCATTGTAGGGATCTTTCACATCTTTTCTTAGATTGATTTCCAAGTCGTTTATTTAATTTTTTTGAGGCTATTGTGAATGGGGTAGTTTTCCTAATTTCTCATTCAGCAGATCCATCACTGATATATAGGAATGCATTTGATTTATGGGTGTTAATTGTATATCCTGCTACTTTGCTGAATTCATTTATTAGTTCTCAAAGTTTTCTGGTGGAATTTTGGGGTCTTCTAAATATAGAATCATGTTGTAGGCAAATAGTGATAGTTTGAGTTCTTCTTTTCCTATTAATATCCCTTTAATTTCTTTCTTCTGTCCAAGTGCTCTGGCTAGAATTTCAAGGATAATGTTGAATAGAAGTGGTGAAAAAGGGAATCTTTGTTCCAATTCTTGGAGTAAAAGCTTTAAATTTTTCTCCATTTAGAATGATATTGGCCTTCAGTTTAGCATCTATAGCTTTTACAATGTTGAGGTATGTTACGGAGATCTATTTTATAGTTATGCGCTTATGTCTAAAAAATTTGACACTGAGTACCCATCAACCTGACATTCCTGGTTTTTCTCCTAATTCTACATAATGTAACATAAARATATGTCTTTTCCCACACCCTTCTAAACTTCATAGTACCACTTGACCAAGATTTCACCAAAGTCTGTGCAGTTTCCCTCAATTAGTTGTCTATGTTCTCTTTTCTTTCTTTTCCATTTCTTTAAACGCTTATTTACATAGTAGAGTAGCCAGACTTCTCTGCAAACTTATTTTATCTGGTGAATTTAAGCTGAAGTCAAGGATCTTAGATGTGAAAGCGGTCCTCCCAATGTTTTGGTCTTCCTCTGCCTTCAGGCATACACATATTTTCTCACTTTATAGACGATGCAACAAAAGCCCAGAGGAGTGATTTGTTTAAGTCATACTTCTCTTAAATAAAGAAGCAGAGGGGCTGGGGATGTGGCTCAAGCAGTAGCGCGCTTGCCTGACATGCGTGCGGCCTGGGTTTGATCCTCAGCACCACATACAAACAAAGATGTTGTGTCCGCCGAAAACTAAAAAATAAATATTAAAAAATTCTCTCTCTCTCTCTTTCTCTCATTCTCTCTCTCAAAAAAAAAAAAAAAAAAAGCAGAAGATGGACTCCTGAGAATCAGTGGGAGATTGAAGAATGCAGCCGATTCCAGAGAAGTGAAGTCTGAGAAATTGGCACTTGTATAGAGAAGTTACCTGTGCTTAAATTCAAATTTGTAACACTTAAGGAATGTTAATAAAAAGAATTGAAATGTTTGTGTTAATGATATTTATGGAAGAATGGAATTATGATCAAAGACCAGAGTTCTAGTCATCTAGTGCTCTATAACAAACCACTCCAAAATATGGGACCTTGGAACTACATTTATTTTGCTTGCAAATCTGCAATCTGGGCAGAGTTTGGCAGGGATAGCTTGTCTCTGCACCCCCCCATGTTAGCTGGAATATTTTCAAGTCTGAAAGATAGAATCATCTGAAGGCTCAGTCAACTCAAACATCTGGAGAATGGAATTGCTGGGGTTGCTGGGCGTCTGGACTATAGGGTTCTCTTGCGGGCTTCTCTCTCTCTCTCNTCTCTCTCTCTCTCTCTCTCTCTCTCTCTCTCTCTCTCTCTCTCTCTCTCTCTCTTCTCCACAGGGGCTTTCCAGCAAAGCAGCTCTAGAGTAGCCAGACTTGCTCCCCAGTGACTCAAGAAAAAAAACCTGGGTGGAAGTTGCATGGCCTCTTATGATTTAGTCATAGAAACCGCGCAACATCACTTCTGCCAAAGAATCCTGGTTAAAGCAATTGCAAAGGTTTTCCCATAGTTAAAAGGCAAAAACAGGGCTGGGGGTATAGCTCAGTAGTGGAGTACTTGCCTAGTAGGTGTGAGAGCCTGTGTTCAATCCCCAGCACCACAAGAAAAAGAAAAAAAGACAAGAACATAGACTCCCTACCTCTTGATGGGGACATATCAATGTCACACTGTAAGAAGGGCTTGTGGGAGAGATCTATATCAGAGAAGCTATCTTTGGAAAATTCAATTTGCCACAACTGAAAACTGCTGTGTTGTAAAATTATTGAAACAAACCAACCTTTAAAAAGCCATCTACCTGTCATTCACAAAACACATTCTGTAAGACACAGTGCAAACAGTCCCCTTCTCTTGGAAATCCTTCTTCCACAGCACCATGTATATATGCCTACTCTCTCACCTGCCATATTCTATTGTGATGTTCATAATACGATTGTAATCAGGCAGATACTATCAATTTGTCAATCAGTCAACCTTTTTTCTAGCTAATCAATATGACATAGGAAAATTCACAAAGAGTCTTCAGATTGATGGGAAAGAGAGCCATCTAGGGAAGCCAGAAGCTATGCACAGGAAATAAAAGCAGAGAGAAAAGCATCAATTCTGACAAAAAACACTTGACATCACACGAAGGAAAAAATATATAGTACTATCCTTCTTTCCCCCTACATGTCAACAAAATCAGTCACGCAGCTGATATGAAAGCATCATCTAAAGCAGTGCTTCTCAAATGTCACCTGGATCTGAATCACCTGGAGGATCTGGGGAAACGCCCCAGAGTTTCTGATTCAGTTTGTGGAGCCTGAGAACCTGCGTTTCTCATAGGTTCCCAGCTGTTGCTGGCCGTCTTGCATCACTAGCCTAAAAATCTGGGTTCAAGAACCATTAGGGTAAAGTTTTAGAAAAACAAGTACTCATCACAGCTAAAGCCCTGGCAAAGACTAAGGAGCCCAAAGCACTGCGTCCCCTCTGGGCGACCCTTGGGTTTGTCCGCCAGGACTGCGGACCAGAGAGTCAGCCTCGGTCAGGGCTCTTAGAGTTTGAGCGAATCCTCGCCCCGCCCCCCTGTGGGCGGGGACAGGGAAATGCCTGTCTCTTTTCTCCGCGCCATGATTGGTTAGCGCCGCCCGTGCGTGGTGACGTTTTGTCTGGGCGGAAAGTTTCTGAAGGTGGCGCGGGAGCTGGGAAGCTTCTTGGGTTCGTCCGGGAAGGCCTCAAACGATTCGTTCTACTGCCTTGAGGTTTCCGGGTGCTACTTGGGAGACCCCCCCAGCTGCTTCCCTACGATCTTCGCGTTCCGACCTCCTGCTTCTCTGGAGTGTCTCTGCTTCCTGAGTCCCCGAGTGGGTATGTGAGTGGGACGTCTGTGTATGTGTTGGGGGAGGGGATGGCCTGTACTGGTGACACCGAGAAAAGTGAGGAAGGAATATGTGCTCAGTTTCCTTGGGGCGCCGGGGAGTTATCTCCGCTTCACCATCCTCTCTCTTAAGGGGTCACCGACTAGTCTCATGTCGCTGCACCTTGTGCCTCTGGGAAATTTTACAGATGTGGAAACTAAAGCTTAGGCATTGATTCTCCAACATGTGTAAGTGCGGGCTGCGAGTCAAGCACTGTGCTGATTGCGCAGGCTGTACAGGTGATTGTATACCCAGTGCTTGGAAGTGCCAGGCACAGGACAGATGCGGATTCCTACTTGAACTAAAATGAATACAACCACGGAGGCAAAGGACCACTAAAGGGAAGACCAAAGAATAATTATCGTTTAGTGTGAAAGGTGTTTAATTCAAGGTATACAGAGTGGAAACAGTTTTAAGGGAGACCTCTTTGAGAAACTGATACCTAAGATTTGAAGAAAGAGGCAAGATATTAAAAAGTCAGTGTGAGATCCCTAGCCACCTCCAGTGGGCTCCTACAAATCCCATAAATTTTTCTCATCTTCAGATACCTAGTAGCCTATTCTTGCAAATGGAAAACACCTTTCCATTGGTTCTTTTAGTGTTATTGTTTTAGTGTTATTTTAATGTGTTTTTTTTTTTTTTTTTTTTTTTTGGTGTTACTGGATTTCTGGTTTCAGAGAGGATGGCAGAGGAACTGGATCTAACAGAGCAAGACTCTGATGGGGGTAGTGAAGAGGTGGTCCTAACTCCTGCAGAGCTCATTGAAAGGCTGGAGCAGGTAAGCATTTCAAACAGAATCTCTTTGTTCCAATTTTAGGTTTTAAAATTAGATCAACTGTGCAAGTGTCACTGATTAGAAATATGAGGAAATGGAATTTTTACCCAAAAATAGAAAGTAGAGGACATCCTCTGTTAGAAATCTCATAATATCAAACCAGATATTCAAGGGAGTTTATTAGGGGACATCTTTGGGTATGTTTCATAGAACATTTCACACAACAAAGATCTACTTAGTATTTACAGAGACTGTAGAAGTGTACTTTAGACTTTTAAATTCTGCACCTGAGTCACTTGAAGTACCTCTCCTTTCCCTGAAGAATGACTGAGTTAGCCAGAAAATGCTGACATACCTTCTTTAAGGAAAAAAAATGGTCATATTCTTTCTTTTCCTTCCATATATTTTCTTGAGTCATACTCTGTAGTTCAACTCTTTAAAATAATTTGAGTTATTTCTTTCTAATTAAATGTCAATGATTTATTGAGTATTTTCTGTGTGCTAGTAACTGTATTAAGTTCTTTACAAAGATCTTCTCATGAGCCTCTGGTAGTTTAGGAGTTCTGGTAGTTAGGAGTTAAATTCCTTCATGCTGTTAGTCTATTATGTGCCCTTAAGCAAGTTATATAGCTTGTCTCAAGCCCTTTCCTTAACTATAAAATAGAGATGATAATAGTAACTACTTCATAGAGTCATTGTAATGATTAACTGCTTACATAKTGTCTGATACATGAAAAACCCTCACTGAATTGTAGCTCTTAGTAACTGTATTCCTTACCCTTTGTGGCAAGTAGTATTATCTCCATTTTACAGATGTGGAAACTAAAGCTTAGAGATATGAAGTACTTTAAGCAAGGTCACACAGTAAGACCACAGCTAAGACGAGAACTCAGATCTCTCTGACTCGAAAACATGGTAGGGATTGAACTCTGGGCCTTATACGTGCTAAGCACATACTCAACCAGTGAGCTACACCAGTGGTCCCAACCTGTGCTGTGTATTCACTTCACTTGCTGCCTTACTCTTGCCCTCTCTCTTTAACTGCCTTTCCAGAACTCTCTCATGTTTAAAAGTTTAGTATTCTTCATTCTTTCCTGCCATATCATGAGTGACAAGCTGTATGTGTGACTCTGGGGATTAAATCCAGGGCTTCACACATGTTAGGCCAGGGCTCTACCACTAACCTACATCCTTGGCCATTTGCAGGGATTCTTAAAAATCTGGGTTTTTTGTTTTTTGTTTTGTTTTGTTTGTTTTGTTTTGTGGTGCTGGGGATTAAACCCAGGGCCTTGTGCATGCAAGGCAAGCACTCTAACTGAACTATATTTCTAGCCCCTTAGTCTGTTTTTATGTCWCAGAACATTTTGAGAGGCCAGTAAAAATAATATGTATGTATATAAAATATAAAAATATATATATGCACATAGATATGTGCCTATGCAGAATTTTGCACATTATTTCAGGGGTTTTCATTCAGAATAAGAAATCAGAATGGCCAATAAGCATATGAAAAAAAATTGTTCAAGCTTTTTAGTAATCAGAAAAATGGAAATTATGGGGCAGGGTTTGTAGCTCAGTGGTAGAGCACTTGCCTTGTACGCGTGAGGCCTTGGGTTCAATCGTCAGCACCACATAAAAATAAACAAATAAAAATAAAGATATTGTGTCCATCTCAACTAAAAAAAATATTTTAAAAAATGAAAATTAAAATCACAATCAGAGATCATTTCATACCAGTCAGATTGGCAGAAATGAAAAAAGGTAYAACCATTTGTTTAGAGTTCACATGCTCACAAAACTATTGTTTAAGGCAAAGCTTGTTATCTTGGGTAATGCCATTTGTACAGTAATATGTTACAAGTACCTCACAGTGTTGATCCTTCCACCCTTGGACAGCCAGAGCCCTAGGCTGCATGCTCTTTTTGGTAAACTCTGGCAAGAATTTAGAATAATTTGCAACCTATGTACTTCAGTGGAGGTGCAAACTGGTACAATCTCTTTGGAAAATAATTTGTTACTGTCTAGTAAAGTTGAAGATGCAGATTCCTTGTGGCCCAATAACTCTTCCAGGTATGTACCTAGAGAAAGCTTCCACATGTACACTAGGAGATGTGCACAGTATGTCCACAGTATTGTTTACAATGGTTAAAAATGAAAATAGCCCAGATATTCATCAACAAAACAACTGGTAAAAAATTGCACATTGGGAAAAAAAGAAACAATAATGAAAAAGAATAAAAGACCTTCTGCAGGACTGSGGGTATAGCTCAGTGGTTTAGCACTTCCTGGCATGTGTGAGGCATTGAGTTCAATCCCCAGGATCACAATAAATAAATAAGTAGTTCATCATCTGGGAAACCTWAACAAAAAAGAGCTTCTGCAATAGTATGGATAACTCTCAGGAAAATAACTTAGAACAATAAAATACAAGTTGCATGGGCTGGAGTATACCCTAGTTGTAGAGCACTTGTCTGGTGTGCATGATGTCCAGGGTTCCACCTCCAGCACTGGGAAAAAAAGGGAGGGAAGAGGAAAATACTAGTTGCAGAAGAAACCATTTGTTTAGAGTTCACATGCTCACAAAACTATTGTTTAAGGCAAAGCTTGTTATCTTGGGTAATGCCATTTGTACAGTAATATGCTACAAGTACCTCACAGTGTTGATCCTTCCACCCTTGGACAGCCAGAGCCCTAGGCTGCATGCTCTTTTTGGTGTCCTTAGGGACTCCTTGGAGAGCAACCTGAGGATAGCAGGATCTGACAGCACAGCTACAACTTGGCAGTGCATATGAGTTGTATCTTTTGCTTGATGTTCTCTTGCAGTCCCAAGTTCTGCCAAGGAGGTGATCCACAACCTGAACTGCTACTGTAGCAAATAGAAGCACTTGTGCTGTGTAGCACAGTCTAAAAGAWCAATCTGATGGGACCACTGATGAACATAGCTCTAGGAACATATATGGCATACTGATGAATGCCTGTAAACAGTGGTTTAAAAGGTGTTGCCTACAATGCAGTGTTTCTCCTTTTAATGATTGTATTAGTTTGCTAGGACTACATAACAGAGGTTGGGTGGCTTAACCAACAGAACTCTATCTTCTCAACTCTGAATGCTAARATTAAGATACCAGGATGGTTGGTTTCTTCTGAGGCCTTTCTGCTAGGCTTAAAGATGACTCTCATGTCTTCACATAGTCTTGTAGGTTACTGTCATGTCTCCCTTTTGTGTGTGTGATAAAATTTTCTGTTCTTTTTTTTTTTTTTGAAGAGCTATATGTTTATTCCATTATAAACATCATGCAATATATACATAAAAGTTTGTTGCATAAATATTTATATTTTTAATTTTATCCATTAAAATTATTTAAATTTAAAAAAAGCACAAAAATTGAAACAGGCTTGTTGTTGCTATTTGCTAAATTCATAACATACATAAATACCAAAAAATATTTGAACTTAAATTCACTGGTAAACTTTTTTTAAAGTGGTCTACCTTGTTGCTTTACAAAAGTTTTTCTTATATCACAAATTTTCTATTCTTACAAGGATACTAGTCTAACTGGATTAGAGCCCATCCTAAGGACATCATTTTAATTTAATTACTTTTTTAAAAGACTCTGTCTCCAAACACAGTCATATTCTAAGGTATTAGGAGTTAGAAATTCAACATATAGATTTTCATTTCTGATGATTTTGTTTGATTTGCAGTTCTGGGGATCCAACCCAGGGTGTCATGCAYGCCAGGCCAGATCTCTACCACAGAGCTATACTCCAGACAACATATGATTTTTGGAGGGGGATACAGTTTAAGCATAATGATGATAAACAGGCTGTTAAAAATTCTGCTCAGGGTTGTGTGTGTATACCTAAGTAGTAGAGCACTTGCCTAGCATGTACGAGGCCCTGGGTTTTGATTCTCATCACCAGAAAAAAAAAAAAAAAAATTGGCAGCAAGGGCAGAGCAGGAACCAGATATAGCCACTGCAAACATAGATCCTGATTATTTTTTAAAAGACCATGAATTCAAACACAAGTTTTTCACTATAAACTTTGGAAAGATTTTATTTAAAAATTTTATACTAATAGAAAAATTTCTCTAATGATGATATTATCATAATTTCACAATATAACTGAAAGATCTCCCCAAATTCACTTTATTTTACCCCAGTGTGCTATACAAGGATTATCACTTTCTTCCAATGTGCTTTTATTAAAAGGCTGGAAAGAACATGTATTGATGCAAACAAATGTAGTGAAACTATAAAAAAAATTAAGTGCTAAATGTCAGCTAATGATTATCTTTAAGAAAATAATCATCACACACAAGGACTTTTAAAATAATGACACTATTCTTTAATAAAGTTATATACACACAAATGTTGATATCATTTTTCTTTGTGTTAAATATTTCTTTTCTGAGGGGGTACCAGTAGTGCAGTGTTAATATATTTGCTTCACATGCACAAGGTCCTGTGTTCAATCCTCAGCGCATGTGCGTGTACACACACACACACACACACACACACACACAAAATTATGTAGCTACAAAACTTACAGAAGCTCAAGCACTTGAAAAAATTTATTACTGTAGCAATACCCAGCATTTAATAATGTGTTGTAATGATGGTAATTGGGGAAGCAGAGACTCAAGGACATCAGAAAAAATAGGTGGAGTCTGGTTGACATGTAATTCTGAGCTATGCTAAAACTCAATTTCCTGTAATTGAAATATAAGTATAGCTTTCCTTGGTCACTTATGTATATTTCAGTTCTCCAAGCCTTGGTAATCTGCAAAATGTACCAAGCAGCTGGTTGTGAGTCATAAATTAAACACTTAACCTCATGCTTTAAAACCTTAATAAATGAGTTATCCATTTCTATTGTGATCCTTTCTATTTTGGATGTTAGTATTATATCCACTTCCTCTCAGATATTATAATGATGAGTGAAAAGTATTTGTAAAGTGCACAGAGCTTTAGGAATAAAGAGGTGTAGATTCACAAAGATTACTTGTCTCTTAAAATAGGTGACAGTCAGTGCCCCCTGGTGGGAGAAGTAGCTGGTGAAGAAGTAGAAATGTGTTAATRCTACTTGATGACAGTACTGCTGGAACACCAGGTGGCGTTACTCTCATCAAAACTTATACTGACAACTGAAGTGAACTGATTTTTTTGTTATTTTAATAAAAGGTTGTAAGCACAGCCTTCCCACTAAAAGAAAACATAAAAGAGCCATCCTTAAACATACTTTGTCTTCAGAGCATTCCTAATATTTCCAACTAATATGCAAATAGCTTTCTTTATTTGTGACATCTGTGATTTTCATGATCTATGATCTGACCTACTGGATTATTTTTCTCCATTATAAATGACCCTCACATTTCTCTACATTGTTTTTTAGGCTTGGATGAATGAAAAGTTTGCCCCTGAACTGCTAGAAAGCAAGTCTGAAATTGTAGAATGTGTCATAGAACAACTAGATCACATGGTAAGAATTGCTTGTCTCTGGATTACAAAGGATGAGAAAATTGATTACAAAGGATGAGAAAATGAGAAAATTGTAGTCTGATTTAAAAAAAAAAAAACAAACCTGTTCTGTTGGCTATATTAGAGTTGGTTACTTATATTTACAAAACGTCAACGTTCCTGTCAGCGTCCTATGAAAGGTCTAAAAACCTGTCATTGCTGATCCCACATTTCCACATGAGAAGAGTTGACCAGAACGGGCTGTTACCCACTTCCATCAGGCTCTTCTATTTTCCACAGTCCCTGACTACCCTCCTTGCTCATTTCCCTTACCTGCCTGACCTCTACAACCATTTTGAGTTTATGCTGCTTGGCTTAGGTGATCTGGGTTTAAGTATTATCAACTTTAGAGTAGTTTTAAAGTGTGATTATTCTACAGTTTCTCAATTGGTATTTATACTGCTTTATAAAGCTTTTAGGCATTCCTTCTATGTGCTGTAAAATTTCCTTTGTGATTATATTGGAGTTCAGAGCCTTTGTGGCTGGCCATATTCAGATTCTATTCAAATGGTTACTTTCTAAAAGTAATTAAGTATTGATTAATATCAAGACTGTAGTCATATATTATTTGTATAATTAAAAGATTATGCATGAGGCCCCTCAAAAAACTTGAAAATAAGAACTCATGTATAAGAGTTTTTTGTTTTCCTTTGTCTAAAACAGTCTTTGGGTCCTCAACTTTGCTGGTGTTGATGGTTCTTAGTCTTTGAACATTAYGTTTTAAATAAACTTTAGTTCCTCCTTTAACAGGAAGAAAATCTCAAGAGAGCCAAAAAGGGGGATCTGAAGGTCAGTATCCATCGAATGGAGATGGAGAGGATCCGCTATGTCCTCAGCAGCTACTTGCGGTGTCGACTCATGAAGGTTTGACATAGAGATACCTGTAGGCATTAAGGCAATAAAGTTTATAATAAAGGCCCCAGGGAGAATTAGGACAGGGCCTGGGAGTGTCCAGAGCCTGAAGATGCTATTAAGAGCCCAACATCAAAGTAGCCAAAGAATAAGGAAGGCAAGAGATTGTTCTGGGAAATATAGCTGAAACATTGGATGTACAACCCAGGGACACCATATATATTTTCTAGTCTGTTTATTGATGTGTGGATGATGCCCCATGGAGTTACAATGAGGGAGTAATAATGATAGAGTGGTTCTCATTTTTTGAATAGGAAATACTGCCTAGAGAAAACTAGTTTTAAAWTTTTTTTACATCTGTCAAATGGACCATGAAAGCTTGTCATTCTACTATAGCTCTATAGTCATCTAACTTATAAAAATGAAATTATGAATATTATTTTGTATGATGTATTTTTTAGCCCTTGGAAATTCTTACTTTCTTGAGATTTCTTCTTGTTTCCATTTGTCTAGTTATTAGAAATCAATACATTCTCTTTTCTRCATACTCACAATACATGTGAGTGTTTCAGATATCTGAAGACAGCCCACAAATCTCATCTTGGTTAACCAGTTCAACCATTTGAATCCATTTACTCTCCTGGTCTCTTCTCTAAAAAGGTTCATATTTCTCAAATTATACTACATGGAACTAAATAAAATATCCCAGGTGAAATTTGGCCACTTTTGTTAAATAGGATGATCACTTCTGTTACTCTGGACATTGAACTTATTGTAGTACCATCACCCATTGTCACATTAGCACATTTGACAGAGACATCATGCAAAGCTCATTCCACACTTATTTAACCCCTTCCAAAATGTTTAAGTTATAATCACCCCTTAGTCACCATCCTGTCTTTGTATGGCTTGGGTTTTGACTCTCAAATGTAAGATTTTGATACTTATTCTTCTTAAAATTTACCTTAATCATACAGGCAGTTTCCCTAGTCTCTGGATTCTGACCTTATCACCTAATATATTAGCCATCTCTTAACACTTTATGTCATCAGCAATTTTTATGTATATTCATAAAAAATATCATTCATTAATAAGACTGAGCCAATGTAAGAGTATTTCACCAGAGATTTTACAAAACTCTCTGTTTTGTAAACTCCATACATATATTGACATCTATCCATTGAACCAATTTTTTTTTTCTTTTTTGTGTGCGTGTGTGGTACTGGGGATTGAACCCGGGGCCTTGTGCATGTGAGGCAAGCACTCTACTAACTGAGCTATATTCCCAGCCTGAAATCAATATTCTATATTCAACCATTTGTGAACCTCCCAATTTATACTATTACTCCAACCCCAGGTTCGTAATTTGTATATAAGGGTATCACAAAGACCTTAGTAGATAATTTTAAAAGTACATATGTTACCAGGCATGGTGGCTCACACTTGTAATCCCAGCATCTTGAGAGCTGAGACAAGAGGATCAAATTTGAGGCCAATCTCAGTAATGTAGATCCTGTCTCAAAAAATAAAAAGGAATGGGGATGTTAGCTTAGTGATAGAAATCTCCTGGGTTCAATCCCTAGTACTATATAGATAGATAGGCAGGTATGCATAGATAGGGAGGTAGATGGACAGGGAAGCAGATGTGCCTCCCACTCCCAACTACGTCCACTTACCCCTTTTTCTCCTTATTTTGGTCAGATGTGTAACTACATCTTTTTGATTTTATAAGCCTTTTAAAATTACCCATTCTCAGGCTAGTGATGTACCTCAGTGGTAAGCATATGTGAGGCCCTAGGTTCAATCTCCACTGTCATAAAGACAAATAAGTCTCTAAAATTATCCATTTTAATATAGTGCCATTTATCAATGAGAAGGCCACTAGTTCATATGTGAAGATGCAGCACCTTTCCATTTTTGAAAAATCAGGAAATTTTCCTATCTCCAATCTTTCACAGCACCTTCTGATTTTAGTGATTCTTCTAAGATCATGAAACTACACATATTTTAGTACATTAAGTGATGTGGTAGAAATTTACATATGACAGAAAAGGTTTTATAAGCATAAACTCCATACATATGTTAATTTGTTAATTTATCCCACAACATAATTGGTCCAAGCCAAAAAACTTTTACTGTCCTTTAAAAACAGTTAAGTGCTACTTTCTCTTGGCCTTTATTTCCTGCTTACCACTGTCAGTTTCCTACTTCCAAAGAACATTTCCTTTGACAAAAATAACAGTACAAACCACAGGCCAGTCCTTTTCCAGGTCTTGGATATACACCATTTTGTAGCTTTTAGCTTTTTGGTTTGTTTGGTTGTAAGATATTTGTTTTTCTTAGCATTTTTTTTCAAGCCTTACTGCATTTCTGGTTTTAGTCTTATAATTAAATGTTGTTGTTATGTCTACTTGTGTATTCTGTATACATCTTTACAGTGTTTGTATTTCAGCTCATAGAACACTCTGTGCAGTTATATTAAAATGTTAAGTCATACCTTTTCTTCTTTGACATCATTTACAATTGTATTTTCAGGTTTTCTTTTATGAAAGCCTCCCATCTCTCTTTAACTGTCTTCTTTTTTAGAGCCTTTATCTTTCCTCAAATTTTTGGAAACCKCCCTTCTTAAGGTCCAGAGCATAAGTCTTATTAGAAAATATATCAGTTATTCCCAAACCAATAGCCAAAACCATGAAAAAATAAAGGAAGCATAGTACTTGGTTTTAAGATGTATGATAAAGCCACAGTAATTGTGACAGTCTGTATTGGTGAACCTATGGAACAACAGATCAGTGGATGGAGTAGAGCCAATAAGTATACAAATAATCAATTGATTTTTGATAAAGATGTCAAAGAAATTCAGTAATTTACATTTCTAAACAAATGGTGTTGGAATAATTGGATGTCCACATGCAAAAAAGTCAGTTTTCATACCTTATGTAAAAGTTGTCTTGAAATTAAAAAAAATATTATATATATATATATATATATATATATAAAAGTATAAATTTGCGGGGGGTGTTACTGGGAATTGAACTCAAGAGCACGAAACCACTGAGCCACATCCCCAGCCCTGTTTTGTATTTTATTTAGAGACAGGGTCTCACTGAGTTGCTAGCACCTCACCATTGCTGAGGCTGGCTTTGAACTTGTGAACTTACTGTCTTAGCCTCCTGAGCCTCTGGGATTACAGGCGTGTGCCACCATGCCCTGCTAAAAGTAGAAATCTTTAAGAAGAAAGCATGGTGGAAAATCTATATTACCTTGGGGTTGGCAAAGAATTTTTAGATATGACACCAAAGGAACATCTCTTTTTTTTTAACATTTAAAATACATATTTATATTATTTTAAATAAATATCAATTATGAGCATTTGCACTCAAAATGAGAGTCTTTGGAATTGTTTTGTAATTCAAGACTAGAAGTGACCGTTTTTTTTTTTGTTGTTTTTTTTTTTAAGTACTCTGTTACTTTTATGATACCGCCTTCCTTTCTTGACTTTCTGTGACCATGAAACATCTCTAGTTGTCAAGGGAGAGTGAAATATAAAGTCTTTATGTTCTTCTAATTCACTAGCCCTAAACTAAACATCTTGAAAACATCTTTTTCCCACTGAGGGATTAATTCCAGTAATCAAAACCCACCAGCGAATGTGTCAAACACAATCAAGCCTGGCATTTGTGTTATTATAGCATCAATATGATACGTCTGTTGTCCTAGAAAACCAAAGGAACATCTCAAAAAAAAAAAAGATAATTTAGATTTCATCCAAATTTAAAACATTTATTCTGCAAAAGAAACTAATAAGATAAARAAAAAGCAAGCTATAGACTGGAAGAAAATATTTGCAAATCATAGAAGTGACAATGTATCCAGAACATATAAAGAACTCTAAAATATCAAGGAAGCAACCATGCAGTGAAAAAATGGCAAATTATTTGAGCATATATTTCATCAAGTAAAACATTTAGGTGGCAAATGATTATGTGAAAAGATGCTCAGCATCATTAGCCATTAAAGAATGTAAATTAAAACCACAATGATGTACACTGACTAGAATGAATAATAAAACAAACAACAACAACAAAAAGGAGTTTTAACCATGAAGACTTGCCATTTTGTAAAGTTTTTCCTTTTGTTTATGARTGTTGGGGTTTGAACCTAGGACCTGGTACATGCCAGGCAAGCACTCTACCACTGAGCTACATTCCCAGCCCCTTATCAGATTCTATCTCCAACTTCTTTCAGCAAGCAGATATATTTGACATTTGAATCCTAACAGATGTTTTCATGGTTTTTGGTTTATCCTCACAGATAGAGAAGTTTTTTCCTCACATCCTTGAGAAGGAGAAAATGCGACCTGAGGGAGAGTCTTCCAGCCTTTCTCCAGAGGAGTTTGCCTTTGCCAAAGAGTGAGTGAGCAGGAAGCATGAAATTGCCTTTGTCTTCAGCTTATAGGCACAAGTTTTAGTGGTTATCCCCACAGAGCCAGAGCCAGAGCCTCATCCATTGCTATCTGTCTGACAACCAGGGTGACTCCTAACCAGTCATGTGTGCCACAGCAATTTGAATTTGTGTATTTCAGGTACATGGCTCACACAGAGGCCTATCTTAAAAATGTTGCCTTAAAGCACATGCCTCCCAACCTACAGAAGGTGGACCTCTTAAGGGCAGGTAAGCAAAACCCTRTCTTTCACCAAGGTCAAGGTGCCATAGTATACATCCTAAATAACCTCCAGGTGCCTGAGAGTAGAATCTTCATCTTTACTCTCACAAATTTGAAAAAATAAGTATGTAGGTAAGCAGTAAGGAAGAGAAAAGAAGGGTTCTGGTTTAAAAAAAAAAAAAACAGGAAAAGGAAAACAGCCAGGGAAAAGGTGGCTTGGCCAAATCTCTGGCCCAAGCCCTCACACTGCCCCCTGAAGTCTGCTGAACTGAGGAAGGAGAGTTAGGCACACTTAAMCTTGGATGAAGCAGTTAGGCTTACAGGTGAAATCTAAATTCCTTAGTCTTTCCTAATCTGCTGTATCTGAGCAGGATCTTGTCAGGCAAAATTTCCAGATCCAATAAAAAAGTTCTCCAGGAGATTGGAATCCACCTTGTTCACAAGCTAAGCTTGGTGTACTATGGCCACAAGTGTGGCTAGGCCTTGGAAATCCATCTCTTCCCTGACCTGGCCTGGGTGCTGCACTGSAATCTCTGTGGCAGTAGAATAGGATCTTAGTTCAAGCCACATAGTTCTGGAGGCTGGGAAGTCCAAAATCAAAGCACCAGCAGAATCAGTGTCTGGTGAGAACCTATCCCTCATGGTGGTGCTTTCTATGTTTCCTCACATGTTAGAAGGGAAGGGGCAAATAAAATAATCTCCTTTTTTTTAAAAAAAAAAAAAAGCACTCGCACATGCTAGGCAAGGTCTATACTCTGAGCTACACTACCAGTCCTCCCTCAGGCCTCATTTGTAAAGTTGTTAATATGGGTCTGGGGTGTAGCTCAGTGGAGTGAAGGCCCTGAATTCAGTCCTCAGCACTGAAAAAATTAAGGTCACTAATATCATTATCTGTGTCCTAATCTCTTTATGTAAAGATGCTACTGAGACTGGATTAGACCTACCCTAATGGCCTCATTTAAATTTAATTACTTCCTTAAAAGCCTTATTTCCAGACATAAATACAATTTAGTCCATAACACCAGGAGCAAGCCAGATCCATACCAGATTTGTTGAATTCTGGATTGGTCATTTTGCAAGCCTGCCTGAGGGAAACAAAAAGCCCTATGCATTTCCAGTTCCCTCCTTGGTCAGTCACGGTTATCTACACCTTGCAGGAACAGGAGTGGACCAAGGCAATATCCCCAATCATTTCCTGGTGCTATCTTATCCAGTTGATCACATCAGCTGAGAGATTGCTGATGGGCATGCATATGAATTCCTGGAACTGAATCTAGCCATTGTCCCCAGCACTTCTACTTCACACTGGTGAAGCTTCCTAAGATACACATTGCTTATGTTGGATCACTTCCAAGGACAAAAACCAGACTCTTGGAATCGAAGCTGCATGGCAGAACTAGCCTCCCCTGATAAAATCAGGGTCTTCCTTAATTAGTCTTCCTAAAGCCTCTGGAAGATCTGGGCCCCAAGTACAGGGTAAGGGTAGACTTTTTGAAACCCAAGCTGTGTTTCTAAAATCAGAAACTCCCCAGTGGAGCCAAATTTACTCTGATGAAGTTGGAGTTTATTAATAGGCCCAGAGTTCTTAAGTAGCCCAAGGGACCCTCCTTAGAACTTTGGAGCTAGTTTTCCCGTAGATAAGGGAGCCAAGGGTAGTACGAAACCTAAGCAGGACTCTTAGAATGGGAAAGTATCCTTAGCTTCTCTGGAMCCTGCAGTTGATTAAGTCTTCTAGGTACTAATGGAACTCTAGGAGATGAGGAACTACAGTGGATCAGCCCAGCTAGGGCACTTATTGGAAATGTTGGCTAGTGATAGCAGGAGGGCAGCAGTTTCTTAACCTGTAACTGATCAATGAAAGACCACTCACAAGACCTAACTTCCTTAGTCTAACATTCAAGACTGTCACCATATGACCCAAACTTTTTAATCTCTCCTTTAAACACTCCCTCCTAAAACTTCATGTATATTCCTTCTTTAGCTTTTGTTACATCCCACAATCCATTAATAATAAATGGAAAAATCTAGAAATAAATAAGTCCTAAGTTTTAAATTGTGTGCCTTTTTGACTAGCATGATGAAATCTCACTTATCAAATCAACTGTCACACACCTCTTGTGTTCAAATAATCCTTACCTAGCAACCTAACACTGCCTCACAATGCCTAAGTCGTTCCCCTCACTTTATGTTATCACCTAGGTATTATATCATCTCACAACCTTACAACAATAAAGGTAGATACAGTAGAATAAAATTCTGAAGCTGGGTATGGTGAGACTTCCCTGTAATCCTAGTCACTTGTGAGTCTGAGGCAGGAGGATTGCGAGTTTGAGGCCAATGTAGGCAACTTAGCAAGACCCTGTCTCAAAATAAACTAAATGGGCAGGGGATATAGCTCAGTGATAAAACCAGGGTTTAATCCCTAGTACCACCCAAAAAGAAAAAATATATATATTTTAAAGGAGAGAGACCACATTCACATAACTTTCATTACAATATAATTGTTCTTGTATTATTGTTAATCTCTTACTGTGTCCAATTTATAAATTAAACTTTATTATACTTTATTTCTATACATATTATTGATACGTATAGTAAGAAATATATAATTTGGTACTGTTCACAGTTGCAGGCATCCATTGGGGGCCTTGGAATAYATCCTTTTTGGATTAGGGGAACCACTACATAGAATAATTCCCTACACATTGTAGRTACTTAGTTACTGAATGAGTGGTGGCTATAAGGAGCCAGATCTCTCTTTGTGTCACCCTCCGACAGTGCTTTTCATCAGGGATCCCTGGGTGTTCGGTACCATTAACCCCAGTGACTTTTCCCAAATCRACCTTGTTAACTACACATTTTCTGATTGCATTATTGTTTTTCCGGCAGTTCCAAAACCAGATCTAGATTCATATGTGTTTCTGAGAGTGAAAGAACGACAAGAAAACATACTGGTAGAGCCAGAAACAGATGAGCAGAGGTGAGTGATATGTGTCTTTCTCAGTGGAAATACTCCTCGCAATGGAGAGCCAGCTTAATCTCTGCAGCTAAATTTTTTTTCCCTCCTTTTTCAGAGACTATGTGATTGACTTGGAAGAGGGCTCACAACACTTGATCCGATATAAAACCATTGCACCTCTCGTTGCTTCTGGAGCAGTACAGCTCATTTAAAAGTAAGCATGGAATTATAGGAAATATTAGAAACCTCTCATCACTTTGTGCCTAAGAACAACATCAAAATAGTTCTCCAAACAGACTTTTCTCAGCAATGCTGTGAATCACTTTGGCATTGAGATGAAGTCAAGGCAGGAGTCTTAATATTGCTATAACGTCATCCCCATTTCTTGCCATTTTAGACAGTATCAGCAGATGGGGCCATTGCTCTGTTTATTCTGCAAACTAGGCAAATAAATATGCTGTTGCTTTGTGCACTTTTTTCTTGTGGCTTTTTTGCTGTTGTTGTTCATAGCGTATTCATAAAAAGGSATCACTACCTATGATCAGAGGGATGTATTTAGCCCTAATCTGATGACAGTAGGAGAGTTTGTTAAACCTTTCTGGTAAGAGAACTAAATAGATTAAAGAAAACAGCTGTGGTCTACTATAATATGTCATTGGATYGTGTGAACTAACCTTTGGAACCTCCAGTATTGAACTTAAAACCAATTTCTGTCATGCTTAACTGAAAATCACAACTAAACCAATAAGCCATTATTACATTTGAGGTTCATGGCAGAAGGAACCTCAGGCCAGTTCTCAGCTAGTGGTTTCATGCAGTGTGATCTGGCTGTTGACCTGCAGCCCTTCCTGAGCATCAGGCAGCTTTGCCAGGCCAGCCTTCATCCATCTGGCCATTCTTGGCAAAGTGTCTGAGCAGAGCAGCATCAGCTGTCCCATAATGTGACTTTAGCAGTATCTTTTTTCTCCTTTATGTTCTTCCCTTTCTCCATGGAAATGAATAAAATGGACCTAATGTGAATGAAGAGTCTCACAGTGATACCTAAAGGCAGGAGATACAGACAACAAATGAATTACGACCTTGAAACATAATAAAAAGCAATCTGCATTCCAGTCTTTCTTGCTTAATGAAGTCAGCAGGTTTTCACTTACATAATATAGGCTGGGGAATAATCAGTAGAATATTGCTCTTATTTCCAAGAGAAATCAATAGGTAATAGCAAGGAAGCTTTTATGTGGATAAAAGCATTTGATATTCTTCTAGTGCTTTATGTTTTCCAGAGTGTTTTTATTCTCCAACTATTCATTAAATAMATTGAGCATGCAGTATGTCAGACACAGATCAAGGCACTGGGGTTACAATCTTGAATATGTCTGACTTTGTCTCTGCTCAAATCATGTCATAAATGCCTTGCAGAAAATTAAAACAGAGTAACTCACCAGAAGGTGACCAGATTGGTGATGTAGGAGAATCTCAATGAAGAAACAGCATGTAGGCTCATACAGGCTGGACCCAGGTCATGTAGGACTTTGTTGGATCCCATTTGGTCCACACAGCAGTAAGTAAGCAGAGCTGGTATTAAGTGGTGGAAAACAAAGCAGATATTTAGTGTTAAGACTGAGATCAACCCAAGTCTTTCCTCCTCCTCAAGCTCCCCATGGTAGCATTAAGCAGGCAGGAGAGGAACCTGGGCTATAATCTAGAACAGTTATAAAGGCTTAATGTACCCAGCTGGTGGTGAATGTCTGTAATCCCAGCAAAATGGTGGCTAAGACAGGAGAATCACAAGTTTTAGGCCAGCCTCAGCAACTTGGCAAAACACAGTCTCAAAAATAAGTGGCACTAGGAATGCAGCTCCGTGGTAAAAGTCCCCTTTAGTTTAATCCCCCAGTACTCAACAAATAAAGTCAGTCTCTCGATAGATAGATAGATAGATAGATAGATAGATAGATACTTGTAGATGGACACAATACCTTTATTTTATTTTTTAATGTGGTGCTGAGGATCGAACCCAGTGCCTCACATGTGCTAGGCAAGTGCTCTACCACCAAGCTACAACCCCAGCCCAATAAAGTCTTAATGTGTATATCAATCACTAGGAGATCGTGTTAAGATACAGATTCAGGTGGTGGTGAGAGGGATGTGGACCAGTGATAGAGGCCCTAGGTTCGATCTCTAGCATAAAAAAAAAAAAAAAAAAAAAAACATATATTCTGATTTGGAAGATCTGGAATGGATTCCAAGATTCCACATTTCTAGGGAGCTCCCAAGTTGTGCAGTTGTTTCAGGTCCAGGGACTACATTGAGTGGCAGGACTTCACACCTTCTTGGGCAGCTCTTGACATGCACATGCCAAGCTGCACAGGGGAGATGATGTTATCTCCTAAAACCACAAGGTGAACGGTTCCATTTCCTAAGTTGTTTCTTCAAAGGAAAACTCACTTGATATGTCATCTGTAAATAAAGGGGAAGTTGAATTTCAAAACCAAGTAGAAAGGGAAATGATATGGTTTAATTGACATTGACTTTAACTTTGCATGATTATTATATTGTTTTATTGTTAAAAACTCACTACTGAAAGCATTTCAGAACATTTTCATCAAATAATTACATCTTCCTTGATGTTAGGTTTTTATCACTGACCGAAATACCTGACAACAATTTAGAGAAGGAAAAGTTTATTTCAGTTCATGGTTTCCAAGGTTCAGTCCATGGTGGGCCAACACCATTGTGGTGTGTCCACCATGAAGCAGAACATCATGGCAGAAGGGCTTAGTGGAAGAGCACTACTCCACTCATGACTGCTAGGAAGCAGAAAAGGAAGGGAGAGAGGAACTGCAGGGAAGATGAAGTCTTCCAGGCCTCACCCACAGTGACCAACCTCCTCCAGCCACACCCCACCTGCTTACAGTTATAACCCAGTCAGTCCATTCAAAGGAGGTTGAACTGGTTGGGTTACAGCTCTCAYAATTCAATCATTTCACCTCCAAACATTCCTGCCTTAACAGGGACACCTTGTATCCAGACAACAACATCCCTTATTATAATCTTGTCCCTTTGTAAGATAGCTCTTCCTTAGAACTCTTGCAGGTCTATACAGGTTTGTTCCAGCAGAGTATATCAACTGGGTTGATGCTGCAGCCTCTGCAATCAACCCAGCTCTAGCACCTCCCTTGAATGCACCTTCCTTTTACAATACATAAAAGTTGACCATAAAGCTTTCAGAGTAAATTTCAAAGCAAACACAGATATCAACTCTAAATATGTTCTTCAAATAGCTTGTCTTAGCTATTTGAACATTTGGAATTAAAGAATTGGCATTTAAATATATCTGATCAACCAGCTGTGAAAGTACTCACATAATATTTTTTTAAAAAGCTTTATTCTTTAATTGGGTTTGGKTTTTTTTGGAGATTCTGAGAATCAAACCCAGGTCCTCCCACATGCTAAGCAAGCACTCTACCACTGTACCCCAAATCAAAAACATCATTCTTATAAAAGCAAAATCAATATTCTGTACTTATTTAACAGATTTAGTTTCAGATAACTCAGCTATTTAAAAAAAAATGGATATTCCTTACAAGGCCAAAAAACTGCTGAGAGAATTTAAAGGAACATACTATCTGAAGATTCTGAAAGGACTAGTAATAATTAGTGTTGATTAAGTGTTTGCTATGAATCAGACTTTATGCATTAAGTAGATAAACTTGTAAATCTCGACAACCCTCTGCATGGGAGAATTTGAGGTTTTGGAATGGGCAGAAGAGATCACCAGATTTCCTTTTAATAGAATGCTTGTTCCCTGTGGAGTATGCACACATGTCTTCCAATAGGTCATTTTACAACCCTGAAAAGGTAAAAGTTGACTTACAGGAGCTGGGTGTGGTGGTGCATGCCAATAATCCCAGCTATATGGGAAGCTGAGGCAGAAGGATCACAAGTTTGAGGCCAACAAACTTAAAAAATGTGTGTGTGTGTGTGTGTGTGTGTGTGTGTGTGTGTAGCCAGCTTATCAAGACCATGTCTCAAAATAAAATTTAAAAATTGGCATAGAAACTTAAAATAATGTGCATATTTCCTGCCTCACTATGCAGTGATTCCTATTGATGGCAGTACAAATGAGTTTTGTCCTCTTTTTTAAAATTTCTTATTGATTTTTTTTATATCTTTATTTATTTATTTATTTATTTTATGTGGTGCTGAGGATTGAACCAGGGCCTCACACGTGTTAGGCAAGTGCTCTACCACTAAGCCACAATCCCAGCCCTGAGTTTTGTCCTCTTGAAAATAAGGTCAAATCTCCATGTGAAAAAGTTTTAACACTTTGCTGATTCTCACATTAAATAAAATCTTTGGCATGTGTTCATTTTGTGTCTCTGAGTGTTAACAATTTCCACCCTAGATGCTAAAAATATTTTAAATTTCTTATATGTTATATTCTTATAAGATAGATACTGTTGATATTCCTACTTTATAGGTGAGAAAACAAACTCATTTACTGAAGGCCACAAAACTGCTAAGCAATAGAAGTTGGATCAAATACCAATAAGCCCAGAGTTCCAAAGTCTGTCCTTTTAGTCATCTTGCCAGTACTGTTTCTTTCCACAAAAAGGAAAGAAGATCCAAAAAGTTTTGAGTTATGACAGCTTCAATGGAGTAAGTTCTAGTTTTCCAAAAAGACTTAGTTGAGGGAATAATACTACTACTCGCATTACTTTAGAGGATGTGGCATTTTTCGTAACATGGAAGTATTTTCACCTTTAAGCAGGTCATATTCTACAAACCACATTATTACAATTTTTTCCTAACTTGTTAGGATAAGGAAAACCTTTCAAAATAAATTCAGTACACAATTACATAAGTCTTGCCTCCTGTCTAGTTGTACAAAGTTCTACAGGAATGAAAATAAAAGTAAGTGACAGGATTGGGGATGTAGTTTAGTGATAGAGTACTAACCTTCCATGCCCAAGGCCCTGGGTGGGACACACACACATACACACACACACACACACACACACACACACACACACACACTAACCAGGCCGGATGGTGAATACCTGCAGTCCCTGAGATTTGGGAGGCCAAGTCAGCAACTTCAAGACTAACCTCAGAATCTTAATGAGCCCCTATCAGAGGATGCAGTTCAATGGTACGGTGCCCCTGGGCTCAATCCCCGGTATCATAAATAACTAAATACATGCTTCAATGATTACCCTACAGAAAAAGAAGGAGCAAAGGAGATTAATATTCATAGAGCATTTGTGAGTGGACAATGGGAAATTGTTTCCCACAAGTTACTCTTCTTAATCCTCATAACACCCCCATGAAGTCAGCTTTATCTCACAATTGTACCCCAGCTTCCCAGTCTAATTGTTTGTCCTCTTCCCTCAATAGTTTCTAATGTCCTTTTTGTATCTACAGTTTTACTATTTTTATTAAAA